GTACGCCCACGAGGTTCCCGTCGGCACGGCGCTTGGGTACAATCCGAGCGGCGTGACGCCACTGGGCGTAGACGTTTCTGGTGGACCTTCTGCGCGACGACGCGACGCAGGCGTTTTTCGTGCGGCTGCGGTACGCAGTGCCTGGGAATGGCGCCGCCGCTGCTGCTGCTGCTGCTGCTGCCTTCCCGTTCCGGTGCCTAAGCGCGGCCAAGGTGCCGACGTCCGCCACCACGGCGGACGGCATCGTTTGCCCCTTCGACGACTTTGCTCGCTTTGTTGAGTCCAGCAGGGGCACGAGCCCGGCCGGGGCGGTCTGCTACCTTGACGAGGGGGTGAGGAAGGAGTTCGCGTGCGAAGTGGAGGGCGCCGCCCCGTCGCAGGCGTGTGCCCGCTACCGCGCCCTTTGCCCGTCGCAGGCGTGCCCCGAGGGCCATGTCTACGACGCGGGCAGCGGGGCGTGTTTGCCTCTTGAGTTTGACCGCCGCATGTTGTCTTCGGAGAATTTGGTCGCCTTGTCGTTCGTTCTTGCCTTTGGTGGTTTCATGATTGCCGTCATCGTGGTGGAGGTCTGGCCTCTGGTGGCTGAGAGGCTGAAGCGCATCGGCAAGAATCCCCGCAGCGAGAGCGAGTGAGGCAAGGCACCTCCATGCTTCACTGTTTGTGGCTCCTGCGTCTGTAGTAGTCTGCGCTGTGCGTGCTGGCTGCCGTGAGTGGTGAGGGGGCGGTCAACGTGGGAGGCGCACCGGCAGCCGCGGGCATCTCTGCGGGGCGGTGTGTGTGTGTGTGTGTGTGTAGGGAGTAGAGTAGGCGCGAGGAGGCCCTCTTGCAAGGGGCTCACAGACGCACGTCTCGGCGTCCGCGGTCGATTGGGCGCACATCGAAAAGTGACTAAACCAAAATGAAACCAAAAACAAGACAAAAAGAAGAAACAAACAAACAAAAAAAAAGGTCAACAACAACAATAAAAAGAAGAAAGAAAGATGCGTTTATATCCGAGGAGCACGAAAAGAGCCCACGCGGGGGCGGGGGAGACGCGGCCGCGCATGCCGCTATTTGGCCGGACTCATCTCGCGGCCTCGCGTGTGTGTTCGTCCCTGCGCAGGCGTTGATGTGTGGGTGCGTGTTTTTCCCTTCCGCGGAGGGGGCACGACACCCACTGCGGGGAAAGAAGCGCGAATACAGCGAGACATAAAACTGAGGATGAAGGAAAGAGAGAAAAAAAAAGAAAACAACAAATAACGAGGGCAGAAAGAAAAGCACAATGAAAGGGCCAAGTAGGAAGATATATTTTTGATTTTTTGTTTTTTTGTTTTACTTGTTTGGTGCTTTTGAAGGATATTTATTTATATAAAAGGCTCATTTCAGAGAGAGAGAGTGTGTGTGTGTGTGGCTGGGTGGGTGGGTGGGAAAAGAGAGCCGGGGCGGGAGAAGAATGAGGAGTTGTTGCGGCAGAAACGGTGGGGCGGCTTGACCGAAAAAGGAAGGGAAACGAAGGAAGAAAAGGAATGCTCGAGGGAAATAATAAAATGAGGAGGGGGTAAAGAAAAAAGGAAAAAAACAAGAGAGAGGGAGAGGGAGAAGCTCGGGAGGCGACACAGGGCCGCATACTTCGCCGCTGCGGCCCTCCAGCTGCCGGCGGGTGTCTGTTGGCTGTGCGCCCCTCCCGCTTTTTTTGTTTGTTTGCTTGATTCATTTATTTCGCCTTGCTGCGGTGACCGCCGTGCCGGCGCCCGCTGCCGCATGGGACGGTTTCGCCTTCTGCCGGGGGTTCTTGGGGCCTCTTCACGCCTGCGTCTGTAACGTGCCTTCCTCTTCTCTTTTCTTTTACTTTTTCTTCGTCCACTGCCTGCCTCGCTCCCTCGTGCCCAGTCACTCACTTGCCGCTCTTCTGCGTTGTTTGCGCGGGGACAAGCGGGGCGTGCTGCTGCCGCTGCTGAGATGGAGGCAGACGATATTCTGCGGGGCGTCGTGGGCGGTGCGGAGCCGCTGATGCCGGAGCTGCAGGCAACACACGCACAGGCGCCCGCGTCACAGCCGCGGCGCACCAAACTTGTCTTTCTCTACAGCAGCGACGACGAGGAGGACGTCGACCCGGCCGAGGCGAAGGGAGAGGGCGGGGCGGTCGCAGTTGCGGCGGTGGTGACGCTGAATCCGCCGCCGGACTCTCTTCGAGAGATGCGGCTTGAGGCCGAGTTGGCGGCCCAGCGTCACCCGCGCGAACCTGCGCAGCTGATCGGCGAGGCAGAGCCGCCGCTGTTCGTCGAGGACACGGCGGGGGAGAGCGCGGCGCCGGCACCCGCGGCCCAGGGCCGTGTGCGGGTGGTGGAAGCGCTGCCGCTGCGGGAGCGCGACGCTGGCTGTGGCAGCACGGGGCCGCCGCTGCGCCGCCACCTGCAGGCGGAAGAGGCCGAACGACTCGCCCACGCCCGCAAGCGATTCCGCGACGAGGCGGGCGGGGGCGACGGCCGTGTCGGGGACGCCGGTCCGCAGCCGATGGTGGACGAGGACGGGCTGGTGCGCGCGATTGCTGTGGGCGGCTACCAACTGACGGTGGACGAGCGCCAGCTGCAGGACTGCGACTGCGAGTGCGAGTGCGACTGCGGCGATGCGGAGGAGGCGCACGCGGAGGCGGGGCTTGTCGCCAGCGACTGCGACGACGACGACGAAGCGGAGGAGGAGGAGGACGAAGCGCTTGAAGAGGCGCTTGACGAGGCGCTGGTGGTCGCGGTGGTGGAGCAGCTGGTGCGCTGCTGCGAGAGCGACGAGTTGGACGCCTCAATGCGCGAGGCCGGGGCGCGTTTTCTCGTGCAGGCGCGGCCGTGCCTGCAGCGGCTGCACGCCGGCGAGTTGGCGCCGGCGCCCTTCGGCGAGGAGATGCGGGGCGAAGTGTTGTCGCTGCTGCGCGTCTTTCAGCGGCTGCGTCGCCCGAAAGATGCGCCGGTCGTCATTGACGGCGTTGTGATGGACATGTGACCGCCGCCGTCGCCGCAGCCGCTGCGCGGTGTCGGTAAGCGGAAAAGCCCGCGCGCCGCCGAAGAAACGGAAGCGGAGAAAGTAAAAAAAAAAAGAGCAACAACGGAACAAGCAAAAAAGACAAGGCGAGGCGGGTGAAGCGAAATAAATGTGAGGTGATTGACGCCTCTTCCCCCCACCGTTTTATTCTGCTGCTTTGTTTCTGCCCGCCGCCGCCGGTCTGATGCACCACGTGACAGGCACCACCCTGCTTCAACCGCCGCTCTTTCGTCTCTTCTTTTTTTTTGTTTGTCCGCTTTTTGGGTTGCAGCGTTTTTGTTTCGATTTTGTTTTTCCGCCTTGCGTGCGTGCGAGTGCGAGCGTGACCTGAGCGCCTCTCACCCCTCGTGGCGGCTTCGTATTGAAACATTGCGGTCGCTCTCTTCCCTCGCCTCCTCCCCACTCTCGTTCTGCTCACCGCGTGTAGAAGAAGGGCGGAGACCGTCGTACAGGCGTCTCGGCGTGTGTGCGTCTCTCTCTCTGTGTGTGTCTGCCTGCTTGCCCGCAGCTGCGTGATTTGGCTTGGGGGCGTGACTGTGCCAGGCACCGGCTGCACCCGAAGAAGACGCGCTGCAGACGAGCATCGTGCAAGGGACGAGCATCAGTTAACCTAAAGGCAAGCAAGCAGCAGTAGCAGGAAGAAGCATAGCGCAGGGCGAAGCAGGAGAGACATGAATCCGGCAGCGCAGGAGTTCATCCCACGGAAGAAGCGGACGATGGACCCCGCGGCCATGCAGATGATGGGCCGTAACGTCCCACCGCCGCATCAGCAGCAATTCCCACCACCGCCGCCGCCACCGCCGGCACCGGCACCGGTGCCCCCTGCAGCCACAACGAAGCTGCGGGCATCCGCGCCTGCGTTTGTTCCCAAGTCCTCTACTATTTCCGCAGCGCCACTGCCGCCAGCGCCGCCAGCGCCGCCAGCGCCGGCCCCCGCCTCGTTGCTGCAACCTCCGGCGGCAGTTCCGCCGCCGGCCCCCGCCCCGCTGCCGATGCAGCAGTACCTGGACCCAAATGCTGCGTTGGGTAGTGAGTCGCGGCAGTCGCCGGGCTCTAAGCCGCTTTTGCTGAGCGCGGCCCCGTACACCCCGACAAACCCAAAGGTGGCGGCAAAGTTCCCCTCCTCTCAGCCGTCGCCGCCGGCCCCCCCCAATCCGCCCCC